CAGGAAAAATAGTTCGGCTTCTACCATATAAAACTCAGCCAGGTGTCGGCGGGTTTGAGAATTGTCCGCTCGGAAGGTGGGCCCAAAAGTGAACACTTTCGTAAATGCCCTGCAGTGGGTAAAACAACACAAAACAGATTGAGCTGCTGACTGCTAGCTAACCTGCACTCATGTTGAGACGCACCTGAAGATGGAAATGATCACATGCAGGTGGTCCTTGATTTATGACTGTCAAACTAGCCAGATAACTTGCATTTTTCTTGTGGTCTTAGCAAAAGTTTTAAGCAAGTGACATGAGTGGACATGACAACAGTCTCCCAATGGGTTGCCCCAAAGAAGAGGAGGGGGTCAGCCTATTCTCCGAAACACCTGAAGGCAGGACAAGAAGCAATGGGTGGAAACTAATCAAGGAGAGAAGCAACTTAGAACTGAGGAGAAATTTCCTGACAGGGAGAACAATTAATCAGTGGAACAGAAGTTGCCTCCAGAAGTTGTGAATGCCCCAACACTGGAAGGTTTTCAGAAGGAATTGGACTGCCATATGTCTGGAATTGAATAGGGCCATGATGGTGAACCTATAGCAGCCCCCAAAATAGGCATGTCCACATTGGCCAGCTAGTCTTTGACTTTCTGGTGCTCCCCAAAGACGAGCTGGCCAGCGCGCATGTGCATGCCAGAAACCCAAAGACCAGTTGGCCCAGTATGCCCATGCACTCTTGCCTGAGCAATGGGGTTGGACTAGAAGATCTCCAGGGTTCCTTCCAGCTCTGTTATTCTGTTATCCCAAGCTAATCAATCCATCAGGGAATTCAAAAGGAGGACTTCATTTGAGTCGAGCGAACAAGATTTCGGTTGCCGCTGAAGTCAACACAAACATCGGTTCTTTCGGCCAACATTTCTCTCTTGTCTTTTTACCTTGTTCTGTATGCCAGTTTTCCCCTTAATCCCGTTTCAACTAAGTTACTGTTTTCTAATAAAAGCTAATCCTCGCTTTAACAACCATAACTCAGCCCCAAAATTTATGTTGCTAAACAAGACACTTGTAAATGGGTTTTGCCTCATTTTACGACCTTCCTTGCCGCAGTTGCTAAGTAAATCACTGCAGTTGTTAAGTTAGTAACACAGTTGTTAAGTGAATCTGGCTTCCCCCATTGACTTTGCTTGCAAGTAAGTCGCAAAAGAGGATCACGTGACCCCCCCCCCTCTTCAAAGACACTGCAACCGTCATAAATATGAGCCGGATGGTTAGCATTTGGATTTTGACCACGTGACCATGGAGATGGTGCAGCGGTCGTAAGTGTGGAAAAAATGGTCATAAATCACTTTTTTTATAGTGCTGTCATAGTTTCGAACAATCGGTAAACGAATTGTTGGAAGTCGAAACTACTTATAAATTGCAAAATTGGAATCAAAACGGTTCCCACATCAATCTGTATTCGACAGCAACGATTCCCAGCCTTCTTACCTTGGAGGTGCGTGGACTTCAATTCCCAGAATTCCCCAGCTGGCATGTTTCAAGATGTGTGGACTTCAACACCCAGAATTGCCCAGCCGGCATGCTTCAAGGTGCGTGGACTTCAATTCCCAGAATTCCCCAGCTGGCATGTTTCAAGATGTGTGGACTTCAACACCCAGAATTGCCCAGCCGGCATGCTTCAAGGTGCGTGGACTTCAATTCCCAGAATTCTCCAGCAAGCTTTACTGGGAATTCTGGGAATTGAAGTCCACACATCTTCAAGTTGCCAAAGTTGAGAAACATTGATTTTGGAGACTTGAGTCTTCGGGGAATTGTTTGTCAGCCATTCCAGTTTCTTTCTCTCCCTAAATGAGAACTTTATAATCAATTAGCTGATAACCCAGCATTGCCCAGATATTTATTTATAGGGGGGAAATGTCCGGAACAAACGTAATTTCTAATGTTGGATTTTCCCCCTTACCAGAGAGAGTCCCCTTGTGGAGTACTGTGAAGCCATTATCATGGCAACTCCACTGCACTTGTACGGTAGAAGCCATTTTACGGCGGTACGGTAGAAGTGATTTTAAGGCACAACAGGCTGTATCTTAACAGAACACACACACCAGGGAGTTTTAGGGGTGTCTTACTCCCACATTGTTTTTCTCCACAGAGTAAGTCATCTGTGTACCAAGTTTGGTTGAAATTGCTTGAGGCATTCTAGAGTTATGCTGAGACAGACAGACAGACAGACATACACACACACACACACACACTCACACTGTAACTGAAAGCATGCCAGTATTCTTAATAGGACTTAGTTTGAAATGTACCTCTGTACACAGAAGAGATAACAAAATAATTTTTTTTAAAAAATTAAGGGCTTTGCCTGTATTTTGTTGGGTTTTGAAGTGAGTGAGGGCAACTTTATTTGCTGGAGGAGCATGGAAAAAAAAATCTCAGAAATACCCTTTTTGAGCTGTTTTGTGTTGATGTTGGCACGGCCAGAAGCCAAGGTGGAATCCAATCCCTCGCAATTATCCACCCAGAAATGCAGACATTCCTCTTGTCCAAAGCTAAAAGAGATTAAATCCCCAGAGAAATACTGCAGGTTCTAGAAAGTGGAAAACCCCTGAGGTGAATCATTTCTCCTCCACTTTGCCTGTTTCTTACTTTGTGCAACAATAGGTGGCCTCCATAACGCTCCTCTTCTACTTTACTCTTTGCTTTTCTCTTAACTTTATGCTTTACATTAATCTTTGCTCCTTTCTTTACTCCTTACTCTTTATTTCACTTTATACTTTGCTTTATCTTACTCTTTGCTTTACTCTTTACTTCTTTATTTACTTTGCTTTTTACTTAATTCTTTATTTTTTACTTTTACTTTATACTTTGCTTTTTACTTACTCTTTACTCTATTCTTTGCTTTACTCTTCACTTTGCTTTTTTTACTTTATTCTTTATTCTTTACTTTTACTTTATACTTTACTCTTTATTTTACTCTTTACTCTATTTTACTCTTTACTCTATTTTACTCTTTACTCTATTTTACTCTTTACTCTATTTTACTCTTTATTTTACTCTTTATTTCTTATTTACTTTGCTTTTTTTACTTTATTCTTTCCTCTATTCTTTACTTTTNAGGTGCAGAGACAAAGGATGACCTTGGCTTTCTAGAAAGAATGTTGTTATGGCTGCGTATCATCTAACTCCGTACAATCACCCCTCCCATTTTCCCACAATAGAAAATGCATAACAGTGTGGCAGACCAAATACCCAAAAGAAAAGATGGCTGCAGGCCTGACCCCTGGCGGCTGGGTGGGTGTGGCTATGATGGGCGTGGCCTAGTCAGACTCCTGCACCACGGCAGGGTAGCGCGATGATGCTTTTGGTCTCCCCAGGCTCCGGAGGGTGGGAGGGCGAAAACAGTCTCCCCTGGGCTCTGGAGGCTGGAAACAGACATGGGGGTGTGGCGCCCCCCGTGTCCCATTTTTGGTTTCAGGAGGCTTCAGGGAGGCCTGTTAGCCCAAAAGCACGGTGGGGGGGGAATCACGAACACGCGTGGGGGAACACAGAGGTGGCATGCACATGCGCAGGGTGGGGGAGCATGGGGGGTCATGGGGCAAATTACGTTATGAGTGTGGGCACGTATGTTCTAGCCCATGCGCGTGCATGATTTCGGTATGCGAGGACAATAAATGTTCGCCATCACTGACCTAATCCATCCACCCTTTTGTTCTCCTGAAACTAGGAACTGGTCAACTTGCTACTGACCGGCAAGGCCGCCTCCAACGTCTTCAACGATGTGATGGAGCTGGACTCAGGAAACGGAAACATCACCATCCTGAAAGGCATTGCTGGCCGCAGCAACATCGGCTTACTGTCCCTCTTTGAGCATTATGACGTCTGCCAGGTATGGAGACGGCTTGGGGGAAAGTTGGTATTAACGCCCCTTTGCCTGCAATCTTGTGAAGGGATGTTACAGCTCTATAAGGCCCTGGCAAGACCAAACTTGGGATACTGCAACCTGGCATAAAAAAGGACTCTAGAAAGAGTGCAGGGAAGAGCAACAAAGATGATCAGGAGTTGAAGAACAGTTTCAGGAACTGGGTATGTCTAGTTTATAGGGATCTTGGAATCCCAGTGGGCAACCATTTAAATAGGAGCCAGCCATGTGCAGCAGCTGCCAAAAAAGCCAACACAGTTCTAGGCTGCATAAACAGAGGGATAGAATCACATGAAGCATTAATACCACTTTATAAGGCCTTGGTAAGGCCAGACCTGGAATACTGCATCAGGTTTTGGTCGCCACAATGTAAAAAAAAGATGTGGAGACTCTAG